TCAACAATGAAGGGGGACAGTGCCTGAGGCCAAATATTACATTAAAGGGTAGAAGACCCTCTTCATGAAATGTACGCTGACGAGTATTTCAAGACGAGGCGCTGTAGCATCAATCCTCCTCACAATACAACAGATACCTCAGGCTGTATAACAAGTCTCTAAATGCGACAACAGGATGGAAACGATTCCTAAATTCTACCAAACATTTCATTTCTCTTTGTACAGGAAAACAGGCTGGCATAGAAAACTTGCACTTCACTCTTTCTGCCACAAGATGGCGACATTCACAGGCTCATTGTGCAAAGTTTTAGAGGATGACTGCAAAGTAAAGGGAACCAGTCATGACATTGGAGTGCTCGGCGGTCACAAGTCATGACTAGATACATCCTTTGTGTGGGTAAAAGACATGCTGAGGGCTCGTTCACACCAGATGCAGTGTGTTCCGGCCCGATTCTGGCGCTTGCAGCATTTTGTTCAGACCGCACCGGATCGCAGGCATAATGTGCCTTGCGATCCTGTGTGGCCAATCGCATTGCGGCCGGAGGGCGTGGCTATGGTGCCATTCACTTCAATGGACCGCCGCGCCGCCTCCTGCCCCACAAAAAAGTGAGCCTGCCGCAATGCAAAGCAGTGTGTTCTGGCCAGAATCGGGCCAGAACGCACTGCATCTGGGGTGAACGAGGCCTAAATGGTGAAGCTTAAAGCATGACAAGCCGGGAACCTGCAGCCTCTGACGATAAAACAAGCTGGCGGCGGCTTTCCCTATGTCAGTATGACAGGTTCCCTTTACAGTGGCAGACATTGCTCGTCACAGTGATACAAATTCGGTGACCAAATTGTACATTCGGGATGGAAGGGTACATAATGCGAGTGACACATGCCTCTATCCAGAGGTGGTTGGGTGTAAAGTTCAGGAGTCGGCAGGCTTCCACTCCCAGCCATACGAATGTGAGCAAGCAGCTTCCTGGAAGCAGAAGTGTACCCACCCCCCACTTTACACCTGAAGATTTATTGGTCGGGGGGCACAGGGTAATGCACGCTGTTATATCCACCTCAGCACAAGCTGTATGTTTTTTTGGCCTGCAATGTTAATAAGTGGCAGAACTACCATTACACCCCCTGCATTGGCATAAGGCTGGCTGACAACCCACAAAGCACAGCCTGAGGGGGCAAGTGTCAGGACTGGCCAGTGAGACTGTGTTGGGACAATGACACTACACCTAGTCACAAGCAGCACAACAAATGTGCCTCAATCATATTCTCTAACATAGAGATCGTCTTTAACAACTATATATATATATTATATATTATTTTTAATGCACAACAACACCACCAGATTTCTCTTATGGACAGTCACCGTGGTGAAGGCAAATGCAAAACGCCGCAGTCACCCAAACATGGCCCCAGTGCCGTCATGTTAAATGCTGCAGTATGGAGAACGGAGCCACAAACATGGATTATTCTGGACGGACAAAATCTGAACACACAACTGACTGCAAATCACCGACCTATAAAGGAAAGCTGAAGATATTTGCGCTGCTTCTACCCAGACAGATGGAAGCTCGTATTCTGCCACCGATGGGAGGAAACCAGCACAGGAAGCTCGAGAATTCTACAGACGGCTCAACGCTAGGTAGTAAAGCGAGTGTGCCAGCGAAGGTTGTCATTGTGTGTCTGCAGCTGCCAAGTCCTCACCTTAGTAATAATGACAACAAAAAACTATGATTAAAGCTAAACTCCCCAAAATGTAACTCCCTGTGACACCAGAGAAATAAATTAGGGCAGCGGTTGTCACCAGGAACACAAATGCAAACCCTTCCCCCATGTATTGAAGAGTTCCCCAGTGGACAGATTTCCAATCACTTCCTGTCCTGACTGAAAGTGAGGGTTCACCTCTCCCAATGGGGTCACAGACTGCATATAAAAACCTGCCCTCCCCCTTCACTGGCTGGATTTGGCCATTAGGCAAAACCCTTCACTGCCTATGGAGCACAACAAGACAATTGGTCACTCAGGAAAAAGCAGCCAATCACCTCAATGGAAGCTGGTGACATCACTGAGCAAACTACATCTGTCTGAATGGTTCCCACGTCTGCACAGATTTCCTGTTAGGTTTGGTAAAGCAGATCATAGATATTACAGGCGGTCCCCTCCACTCAAACCATCACAGATTACCCAAAAACATGTCAGTGACGTCACCCCTTCCCACATGTCACTATGACCCCAGGACAAAATGGCAGCTTGTGCTCCATAAGGACAATAGAGGAGCCTGAAACAGCTTAACAACAACAACAAGACGACAAAAACCCCAATAATAAATAAAAGAAGCCTGATACCGGACCAGGCTCAGATTAGGCACGTTCCTTTAAATAACTCTGCATATTACCAGAAAATGGATTCTCTTTTGGAATGAGGAGACTACTTGGAAGTCATACAAACATATGTGCACGTTAGAAAGAACTAAAAAAAAATAAAAAAAAGATACAAAAGAAAATGAATCGACAAATCACACAGCAATATTACAAAAATAAAGCTCGTGCTCAGCCCTAGTTATTGCCGTTCTTGTCTAGGACCGGGGCGCCCAATGCCAGTCCTGGGGGGTCCGCAGACATTCCTAGGATCTCTCTGACAGACGGAAATACATTTATTAAGGTGAATATAAAAATCGTGCCCTGTGTGTGGCCCCCGAGGACTGGGATTGGACAGCCCTGGTCTACGACTAACCAGAATGTATTATGTTTGATACTTGGCTATCCGACGTTAGGAGGTGACAGTCCAATCATGAGAACGTTTCCCGGATCCCTACAGTACTGAAAGGGCACGTCCACCCGATCCGGCATTTCACATTCAGCCAGTTCTCAGCCTATGAGCTCTCTGCTTAAACCTTTAGGTTAGGATAGAGCTGTCATGGCTGACCTGTCTCTAAAGCTCCAAGACTGTCATCTTCATCCTTCACTACTCAGTGAACAACATGTGGATATCAGGGACAGGACACCCGACATGAACACGCGTGTTCCAATGATGAACATGACCCGGAGCTTGCACAGCTCAGCAATGGCAGCCCCTATTTCTGTCCTGACCGGTTCCTTTAAATTAATTACAGTTTCAACATTAAACCTCTTCAAGGCCGATGACTGAAATCTGACTGCAAATGTAAAAAGTGTTAAAGGGGGTCTCCACCTCCATAGACGTGTATGATAGAAGACCAGTGATGGCTGCTGGCCTGTATTCCTAGAAATGCTAGCTGATTTGAAACAAGAGCAGAGATTAGAAATTGTCTGTTCTGTGCCAGGGACTCAGAAAGTACTGGAGCCAGAAACAGCCAGAGATCTAGCATTTCCTGCATTGCTCTCATGACAGAAGTACTTTAAATGGGCAGATTCTCACACAGCGCCCCATTACATCCTATAAATGGAGGAAGCCATTGGGTAAGACGTCCAGGTCATGCAGCATTTTCTTGGCTTTTATGTCTTTTAGGGGCATTTGAGGTATCAAAGTTGAATGTTTTCCCAAAATCTATGGCAAGATCTGGAGGGTAACCAAGCAGAAGAGTTCTGAAAGGGTAAGTCCAACCCAAACTGGTATTTCAGAGCGTGTTGTATTGGCTGCGGTTGCTTTCAGAGATGGAAATGACCGCACACGTATATTACTGATCCAGTAGCAGCTGATGGGTCACACAAGCTACCAGCATGTTCTTTGAGGACCATGGAATATACTCCAATGTAATATAATGCTCTGTTATCAGGCATATGGGATTGATACAATGAGAGTAATACGGGAGCTGAGGAAAATGCTGCTCTGGTTTCCCTTCAGTACAGGAAATCATCATGGGATCTCTACTGAAGGAGAGGATCAGCATCCAGACTGGCTGGGAGAGATCACATGATCAAATCCCTCACACATGGCCAGCACTGGGAGGAACCTGTAGCCGTGTATACTTCAGGAAAGGAAGTACAGCTGCTCTTCTATTGATTACTCTGAAACATAAACATCTCAGGAAGACTATGAGCGTAGCTTGGTGCACTCAAGTGTATCCTGATAGTTCAGTATTCCAACATGCTATACTCCCCCGGTTTCTCTGCTCCTTTTATTGCCTCCCGGCTCCATAGCAGTCCTCCCTCAGTTGCACTGATGGTGATGGAGATGGGCTTTTTGGTATGGGGGAAGCATGTGATCTCCCCCATGTAACAGAGCTTAGGACTCAAGGGCCAATCACCAGGCAGGCCATGTGGAAAGCAGTGCCGTTATCCACCAGTGTAACCTCTGAACCCACCCAAGGTGAACTCCTACAGCGAGGAGCTGTTCAGGAAGTATAAATGGGTAAATATACTTCTGTGGGGGAATCATGAGACACATTGTCTCTTTATAAAAAGTGTTTTCACAAATTACATTTTTGTACCAAGAACTAAATTATTTTATTCTTGTAATTATTTAAATATGAAACATTGCATTTCATATTCACCTCTTCCAGTCTACAGGTGGCACTCCAGGCTTCATTTCACATGTTTAGCTGCTTTGATTAAAAATGCCCGGGTCTTCATAGCCCTTTCCAATTACATACAGCTGAATGACTTAGAGGAGGGACACCCTCCGCTGTTAATACAGGACTATATGAAGTTTTATCTCCTCTCTGCTCAGCTTTCCAGTGTACCCGAACTTCCTCCATTGAAGAGTGCACACAAGCAAATGATGAAGCTGCTCACTGCAAGTAAAACTGTCATGCAGATTTGCCCTTCCAGACTACATGTTTGACAACTTCCCATGGGGAAAAAAATAAATCAGGAATTAACGAGAGCCTCGGGGGAAGAACGAGCTTTGACAATGTGCAATTTACGCAAATATCAGAAAAATATGATAATAAAATAGGAACTATAATCAGTACTGCACAACTCCCAACTACTTGTGCTTGCCTGTCTTGTAATAAATATGAAGGTAATGACCATTTGTGACTCCACTCCTCCGCTGGTGATGAGATCAGACGCTGGACTCGCCGCGCACATTCCCAGCCGAGCACAAAGTCACCAACTTGGATAGTCTCTGCAGGGGGGAGACCCCTCTCCCGCTACTTGGTCAGACGATGGAAGTGAGGCAACACCTGGGCCTCTGGGAGGTAGAGCGCCAGCTCCATGGCCACCAGCACCGTCAGTTCAAATGCCACCAAGTCCCGTCTGTTAGACCGGAAGCGCTCTTCAAGCTTCTGTAATGAAACACAAGAATAAAAAAAGAATTTACCGAGTTACCGAACAAACTTCATTACAACTCGTGTGTAGAACGCAATAGACACCACGATGGAAAGTAAATACACATAACAAGATGCATCTTACATCAGTGGTGCCATATTTGTCTCTCAGTGTCCAGGACTGCAGGCCATCTTACCAGGTAATACAAGTCACACATGGACACTGCAATATTATGACTGAGGAAAGATTCCTAGGTCAACAAAAGGAGCCTCTTATAGTCCAATTTCCTGTCTCTAAGATCTTATAGTCTGGTCATCACAGAAAACATTCTGGAGACAAACAACCGTGCACAGACAGATGAT